TTGTATTTTGTTATTAAACTAACTTAAAACGATATTTTTTACAGAATAATATTTTAAAAATGACATTTTTAAAATTCCCTCTACAGATAAAACTCAGTCAGTAACAAAATGCACATGCACTTAACTTGACGCAGTAAACTAACATGGCGAGCGAAGACTTTTCGCCATAGACTTCAGATCCCAAGAGAAAACTAAGTCTTCTATTTTTGTTTTTCTTCTTTGGTTTATTCATTACCACATATATCTTCAACTTTTTTTTTTGTTGATAAAATTTTTCTCTTATTTCCACCTCCCTATTCTATATAAATGCAGAAGCATAAGTAACACTGATAAGTACAAGCAGAAACATGAGTCACACTATAATGTCTTCCATGGCCCTCTTTCTCCTTCTTCTTCTTGTGTTTCCTCATATGGATAAAGCCCTTACACAGATGGAGGCTAACAAACTTAGTGAGTCTTTTTCATTGTCTTTAAATATTTGTTAGTCATTACGTTTTTACTCATTGGGGTATTTATTCCTGATTTTAGTTCGGATTAATTAAATTTTGAGTTTACAATTTATCAAAAGAAATAATAAACGTAATATATTACATATGTATATAGTTTTTTCACCTTTTTTTTGGTCAAGTTTAAAAATTCAAGTTTATAGATGTAAACAAAATAAAAAATTAATCGTTGTACCACAATCCAATTTGGTTTTACGTTCGAAATAAAAATAGACAAAAATATCATTAAAATTACCAAATTTTGACACTGATATATAAACGTAAACTGAGTTTAGGTGGTGAAGGTGCAGAAGAGACAAACCATCCTGATCAGTTTAGTGGACTCGCTCCAAAAGTAAGAGGTTGGTTCAACAGAGAACGTCCAATACATGTTCCAAATCTTCCAAATGTTCCTTCTCCTCCTCCGGACACCTTAAGCTCTTCCAAAGGCACGCAGAAACCTGGTCACTGATCTCACTGTGGTTTCAAATGCGTCTAATATAATATATGCACGTTGTTTTACATCG